TGTGTGTGTGTAATGGTGTGTATGTGTGTATATGTGTTTGTGTGTCTATTGTTTTATATGAAATGCATTATGTCTCCATGTTTCCACCGCTGCATGTGACATCTAGCCACAACTAGACCAAACCATGAATGTTGAGATCTTTTAAAATTCCAAAACCTGCTTCTAAGAAATAACAAAAGTAATAATAAAAAATAATGAGATAATAGTTGCAATATTCTAGCAATATATTTTTAATCATAATTACAATTATTGTTATTATTATTTTTATCATTATTATTATTATTATTGTTATGATGATGATGATGATGATGATGATGATGATGATGATGATGATGATGATGATGATGATAAAAAATTACAATCATAATAGTAATAATATTAATAATAATAATAATAATAATAATAATAATAATAATAATAATAATAATAATAATAATAATAATGATAATACTATTACTATTATTATTATTGTTGTTGTTATTATTGTTATTATAATTGTTATTATTATTATCATTATTATTATTATTATTATTATTATTATTATTATTGTTATTATGATTATTATTATTATTTTGATAACTACTATCATTATTGTAATTTTAAAAAGATATATGTTTATTAATATTATTTATAGCAGTATTATTATATAGATAAAAACCAATAATGATAACAACAATACTACTAATAATATTAATATTTATGATAATAATAATAATAATAATAATAATAATAATGTATTATACAATTTTAACCGAAAAAATAACTGACGTCGCAGTATTTGTGATTAAAGCTTTAATAACAATATTGTTAATAGTATTCATAATATTTATAAATAGCAATAATTCAAAAAAAAAATTAATATAATAATAGAAAAAATAATATTATTTTTAATAATAATGATAATAATAACAATAACAGTAATAATAAAAATAGGAATAATAATCATAAAATTTAATTATAAAATAATTGTGAGAATATTCATAATATTAGTCGTTATAATAGTCTTCATTATTATATTCATATTGACAATAATAATCATAATCATAATCATAATCATAATTATAATAACCATGATAATAATATTAATCATCTTAACTAAAATAAACATAAAGATTTTGATAAAAATACTTTTGGGATTTTTTTTCATTGTTTAACTAATATCAATTTATTGAAAAAATGAAATGATAATAGCATTAATTTGTTTTACTGATATTTATATTATTATTATTGTTATTATCATTATTTTTATTATTATTATTATTATTATTATTATTATTATTATTATTATTTTGTTGATGATAATAATAAAAACAATAGTAATCATCATCATCATCATAATCACAATAATAATCATATTAATATTGATAATAATATCAACAACAATAATAATAACAACAATAATAGATAAATAGATAGATACTAGTTAAGCGGCGATTTACTTTTTCTGAAAATCTCGAAATGCGCGTTACATTCTTAGGGTTGTCCCATTTTGAAATTACTGAACAGATGTGTATGTAATAATAATAATGATAATAATAATAATAATAATAATAATAATAATAATAATAATAATAATAATAATAATAATAATAATAATACATAACATTTTTATAGCCCTCAACCCCGGTTAAAGTACACAGGCTCTGACCGCTAGAAAGGTTATAGTATGTAATATGTGTATACGTTAAAATAAAATCCTTTCAGAAATTGAGTCTCGTAATGAACCTGGAAATGCGTGCACAAAAAAAGTAAATTACCATGAAAACTCACAGTCACAAAAAAACAACAACTGAAACTTGAGTGACTACAGCCATCTCTGTAGATACATAACATGGTTACACACTCACTCTCTCTCTTTCTCTCTCTCTCTCTCTCTCTCTCTCTCTCTCTCTCTCTCTCTCTCTCTCTCTCTCTCTTTCTTTCTTTCTCTCTCTCTTTCTATCTCTCTCTCTCTCTCTCTCTCTCTCTTTCTTTCTTTCTCTCTCTCTCTTTCTCTCTCTCTCTTTCTCTTTCCCTTTGTCTCTCTCTCTCTCTCTCTCTCTCTCTCTCTCTCTCTTTCTCATAATAATAATTTAAAAAATAGTAATAATAATAATAATAATAATAATAATAATAATAATAATAATAATAATAATAATGATAATAATAATAATAATAATAATAACTATAATAATGATAATTACCAATATTCGGTTTCATATTCAAATTTGTATTGTAAGACCAATCATAAAATGTATCTTAGTTTTGTAAACTTGTTTATTAGAGAAAGTAAAAGTAAAGTGAGAAACAATATTATGAAAGATAGATAGATGGAGAGAAAGAGATAGACAGATAGACAGATAAATAAATAGTTAGATAAATAGATAGATA